GTACAGGCCTGAGCAGGCTGCAGCCCATTACTGGACAACGGAAAACCCTCCAGGAATCCAGGAGTAACCACCTGCGCTAACTGGCCAGAAAAAAGTGGGGGCTTTTTGTCTTTTTGCTTTTACATATTGGCATGGTTCAGCTAATTCAGTCTTTGAAACCTTTCCAATGTGCTAAATAATGGATTATTCCAATAATAATGGGCTTTCTAAGGCCAGCTAATGGTTTCTCACTTCAGTCACATGGGGACCATTATTATGCTAGCCTTCCAAGTAAAAACGAAACATAGGGTCACTTTGGATCTTCCCTCCTCCACACACCCTATAGTCTTACCCTAAATTACCACTATGACAGAGCAACCTTCACCTGCAAATTTTCCCCACTTCCCAATGCCTACACTATTGTCCAGTGATATTGATAGCCAAGGATGTGGACACCAACTTTGAGGACATTGTACTCAGTGAAAGAAGCCAGACACAAAAGGACAAATAGCATAGGATTCCACTCACAGGAGGTCTCTAGAGTGGTCAAATCCATAGAGACAGAGAGTAGACTTGTGGGTGCCAGGGTCTGGGGAAGAAGTTGGGGAGTTGGTATTGAATGAGGACAGTGTTGCAGTTTGGGGAGATGAACAAGTTCTATGGATGGATGGTGATGATGGCTGCACAACACTGTGAATGTGCTGATGCTATTGGACTGTACACTTAAAAAGAGTTAAGACGGTACACTTTATGTTATGTGTATTTTACCAAAATACAAACATTTTTTTTCAAAGGGTGTAGATGACACCTAGGTTCACTGTGTGCATGAAACCTGGACCTTTGCCCCAACACACCTTTGACCCTAGCCTGTCTCTCACTAGTCCCTGAAAAGGCTGTGCTCATTTCTGTCCCTAAGCCTTTGCTCTCCTCTAGCCTGGAAAGCCGCTGCCTCTCACTTCCAAGTGTCCAAATGCAGCATGCATTTCTCCTTCTTTTGTCCCTGATATCACTTCCTGTTTAAACTTCTGATATGGGCAGTTAATTTTGCAGTTTATTGTCATTTCATCATTTTATGCTCATGGCTTGTCCCACACCCCCTGCCTGAAAAGACCCTAAGCTCCCTGATGGCCTGGGCTGGGTCTCACACTTAGCATAGTAGAAAATTCTCAAGCACAGAGCAGGTCTCAAAGGTGTGATGAATGATCAAATGGCAGGTGGAAAGGAGAAAATTTCAGTCAGACATTCTATTGTGCCCACCTTCCTCTGAGATGGGCAATTGACAGAAGTGAGAGACTTGAGGCTTAAGCTCCTGGGGAGAAACTATAATAGCTCAGCAGACACACCAGGGCAGTGGAGGACAGTGCATTCCCAAAAGAGTTGACGGAGTCCTTCAGGAGGAAAAACAAACCCCAGCTCACCGCTGAACAGACTGTCAGTCAATCAGCCTTCCCTCTTCTTCTGGATCATCCTTTTATGGAATGGCGAACACTGGAAAGGCAGTGCTGGGAGAGGAGAAAGAAATCATGAGCGATGAGTTATTGCAAAAAAAGAAGGTAAGCTATCGAATCGGTAACTTATTATACTAGTCAGTCATTGAAATGATAACATTTTGGATATGTTGAGCTAAATAGAACACATCGTTAAAATTAATTTCACTAGTTTCTTTTAAATAAGGCAAAATTCTTCTAAATAAGGCTACTAGAAGATTTTGAAAACACATAAACGTCTCGCATAATGTTTCTATTGGACAATGCAGCCCCCAAGAGGGACGCTGCCCAGTACAACACAGTGTGGCAGCCTGACATCCCCAAAGCAAGCAACGCCTTCTTCTCCCCAACCCACGCTCCTCCAGAGGGACTTCAACGAGTTGAAGACTGTGCCACAGGCAGACAGCTGTGTCAAGGACCAACGGAGAACAAGCTCACACTTATTCAGCCCAGCAGGACCCTGAGTCTGGGAAGCATGGCGTGCCACATCCGGCTGTCCCTCAGAAAACCCTGCTAGCTGGGAAGGAGCCACCTGCACCTGTGAGGCTGCAGAGGGCAGGCTAGGGGCAGGGCAGGTTGTGTGTGCGTGCGCGTGCGTGCGTGTGTGTGCATGCGTGTGTGTGTGTGTGTGTATGTGCTTCGGTGTGTGTGGGGTGGGGCACAGCCAGACAAAAGCTGAGGAAGTACTGCTCCTCCTGCCCCAGGTGGGGGCAGCCAGTCAGGGAACGGCAGGGTCATATGGCAGGAGGCAGGTGCTAGCCTGGCCGCCCAAGGGCCTGTTGTGGGCTCTGGGCAGGGCAGAGAGCCGTTGGGAGCAGAATCAAAGAGGGCATTGGGGAAAGGACGCTTCTGAGCAGTCAGAGCCCGCCGCGGCCGGTGGGGAGCTGGCCCAAAGCCACAGATTGGGAAGCTTTGGCCCTGCCTGAGATAGGACAGTAGAGAGGAGCCCCAGGCTGTCCCTGGAGGACACAGGAGGGCTTCCGCTGGTTGTGCAGAGTCTGGGCTCTCGGACATTGTGGTGCACAGCAAAGAAGCCCTTTCTGGTTCGGGAGCAGACAATGCTCCCACTCAACCTGTGGAGGTTCTAAGGGACATGTCTGAGGTCAGCCAGCTGGGAGGCAGCCAGGTGGGGAGAAACACACAAGGAGACCTCCTCTGTATCCGGGTCTGTGTTGGAGGCACTCAGCAAGGCTGGCTGTCCTTGGGACTTGGTTCTCAAGAGCCAGTACTACAGCAGGTGCTCTATGGAGGCGTCTGGCCACCAAGCAACCCAGAGCCTTCTATGAATCTTGATTGCAGCATCTCCAATCAAGTGCCACCTCACAGTGCAGTGCTTGTGAGTGCAGTGCGTGTTTATCCCTTCAGGTGTCCAACATCTGCTGGGCATGCTGGCTCTGTGCAGTGCCTGCTGCTGGCAATCAGGGGGACCAAGCAAAAAAGATGGAAGACTCTGGGAGCCAAACCAAGCAGGGGCCACCTGTACAATTCCTTTACTTTTACCAGGGAGTCCGCCTGAGCCCCCACCAGACGCTGAACCTACTGGTGCCTTGATCATGGGCTTCCCAGCCTCTGGAATTGGGAACAAGAAATTTCTATTCTTTGTAAGTTTCCCAGTCTCCAGTGCCTTGACTTTGAGCTTCCCAGCCGCCAGAATTGGGAGCAATACATTTCTGTTCTTTGTAAGTTACCCAGTCTCAGGTATCTTGCTACAGCAGTACAAATGGGCTAGACACACCGGCAAGTCCACCTCACCTTCTGGGGCTCTAGCTTGCCATCTGGGGAGGGAGCCCCTGATGCCCAAAAGCAAAGACTCAGACCAGCATTTCTCACGTGCCGACACATACTGATGCTGCCAATAAGAATATGAGAATATAAATGGAGGGCATGTGATTTGTGTGTCCCAGCAGAGGGGGCCTATGGGAGGAGGGGACAGTTCAGCTGAGACATGGAGGAGGAGGAGGGGGAGGGAGAGGAGGAGGAGGGTGAGGAGGAAGAGGAAGAGCAGGAGGAAGCTGCTGCCACAGAAGGTTCTTGGGGCCGATGGCTCACACAGAGGAAGGAGGGATGGCAAAGGCTGAAGGTGGGAACAAGCCCTGTGCTGCGGGGTCAGCTGAACAGGCCAGATTGGCAGGAGTGTGGTGAGAGGAGCTGGGGGCATGGCGACACGGGGTGGATTTTGGGGAGGGAAGGAGAGCATCAGAGGAAGCCAGATCCCCAGGAGCAGCGTGGGGGTGCTCTTGACCAGGATGGGGCTTTGAGATTACTCTAAGGAGATGGGGTGCCACAGGGAGGAGCAGGGTCTGGTGGTGTTGCAAAAAGATCACCCTGGCTGCTGAGGGGGTGTTGGTGGAGCAGGGAGGACGCAGAGTGGAGGCAGGAAGAACAGGAGACAGGGAGGACCAAGGACCACGGAGATGAGAAGGGTAGCAGTCTTGGACCAGAGTCAACAAAATCCAATAATGGGTTAGATTTGGGAGTGAGGAACAAAGGAGAGGGGAGAGAATCCTGGCTGCTTTGTTTGAGTCACCAGGTAGAAGGCAGAGCCCTTTGCACAGAGGGGGAAGCCTGGGGACAGTGGAGGTGAAGGGGACGAAGCCCTCCGGTTTGAACATCTGAGCTCTGAAATGTCCTCGGGGCATCCACGTGGGCAGATGGATGAGTACGTGTGGAGCTTGGAAGACAGGTCACGTCCAGAGACAGAGCATTCATCGAAGGTTGAGGCTAGGAGCCCACCCCCACCACGCTTAGACCCAGCAAAGTAGGAGGAGGAGGAGGAAGGTCCAAAGGCAGAGAGGCAGGTAGAGAGGGAGGAGGTCAGCCCAAAAGTGGAGTGGGGGAGGGGAAGAAGTTGAGAAAGGAAATGGTTTTGAGAAGGAAGGAGAGTCAACTGTGTTGAGAGGTGGAGACAATGGGGACAGAGGACTGACAAAAGAAAGATAGTTGAGGTGTCACAGCCCAGCCTTGGCCGGGGTTAGCGGGGGGCAATGGGCGTCCTGGAGCGTCCTGGACTTGGAGTCAGCAGGTGCAGAAGGAAGGAGAGTGGGAAGAGACAAGGCCGAAAACAGAGGAAATTAGTTGAGAGCCGGCCTGTGGGTCAACTGGGTCAGCTGGAGACACCAGACCCACAGATGTTCCCAGGGCGGGGGCTCGCCGGGGGGGTTCAGTGCTCTCTCTGAAGAAGGACTCCAGAAAAGTCACAGCTGAAAACAAGAGAGAGGACAATGTCTGGTGTAAGCCGTGACAAGTCTAACACTGAAGGTTCAATAGACAGACACTCTCACAGCAGAGGTAAAGAGCAGCAGTTTGCCTGAATGAGAACAAGCAGTCTTGGCCCTCAAGGGGGAGAAGCGTTGGGGCGGGGGGACCGGCGGCGGGGGCCTGGGAGGACTGGACACACGAGGCCAACCGGGGAGGCTGGTTTGTGGCAGAAGACATGCGTTTCTTCGCTGACCTCACGTTTACTACCTGGGAGGTAGAAAAGCCTGGGGAGCAAGACCATGCCAACCTAAGTACCACACAGAGAGGGAGCCTCCCTATAAGAAAATGGTATCTATTCAGAAATAGGCGTTGCAGTGGGGACGCGTGCGCCCTAGTGAACTATGTGCATATTCAGGCAGGGAAAAGGAAGACAAAGGTTTTTCAGGAAAAGTGAAGAGGATTACATAATTGTTTTGAGATAATGATCTTTGGCTACAAGGATGAATAACAAGGGTAGCATTGGTCAGGGACTTGGACAGGAAGTTGCTGGGCAGGTGTCCTCGCAGAAGCATTATTTGTGTCAGGTTGCAACAGCCTTTGTGCCAATTTGTGGGTTTTGCAGTCTTCTGTGATGGCTTTTGTTATCAGGCATTCGTGCATGGGAACCCTGCCTCCATGGCCCTCCACAGCTCTATTTGTCAGGTTTTTGGATTTTTGTTTGCTTGAACAACAAGTGACTCCATCTTGATTCTGAAACGTTTCACAACCATACGGGCGAGCCAAAGTCTAATTGTGAGGCCCACTCCAATGCGACCTGCTTCTGGGCAACGTGATAGACTGGCCATGGCTTATATCACAAAAGGAGAAAGGCTTCGATCTTGACGCTAGGAACTTTCTCCTGGAAACGGGCTGATGACGCCTGTCACCTGTAAGATGAGGAGGAAAGGAGCAAAGGAGATTCACAGAAGAGGAACCGGGAACGGCCAGTGAGAGACCTCGTCACCGATCGGGGAAACCCAAGGCACACAGCGATGAGGTGGTGTCTCTCCCTGTGGGATGGGCAAGTGAGCGAGGCTGGACAAGACCAAAGGCTGCTCGGGCTGTGGGAACCCAGGACCGCTCCCACGCTGCCAGTGGGAGGAAACATGGGTTCGGCCACGCACCGGAGGTCACAGATGAGCCATGCTTGGTCGTGGCGTTGATGGGCACAGCCCAAGTCCCAGCAGAGCCACTGCCGGCTGTGCACCCCAGAGCCTTTCTCGCTGACGGTGGTGGCTCAGACAGGCATGCGGGATGCCACGGGCAGCAGTGTCTGCAACAGCCAAACAGTGGGAAGGACCCGAATGTCCATCCATAGGGTCACAGACAAACACTCTGGGCTGTGATTCAGTTTGGGTGAGCTGGAAGCTTGGGGGAAACCTTGGCCAGCAAGTTGCCAAACAGGAGGCCAGGCAAGGAAAGAGAAGGGGATGAGGGAACGACACCCAGAGGTGTGACCCCGTGGGAACCTGTCTGCCACCTGTCTGGTGGAGATGCTGTTCACATGGCCCCAGACTCCTGTGATGGGTCAGGTGCATGGTCGTCAGATCCACAGGCACAGAATCTCTGCTTTGAGCCAGGCTGCTCTGCCCTGGTGCAGCGTCTAGCCCCGGCAGCAGAGGACTGGTGAAAAACCTATGGAAGGCTGACTCAGGCCTGACAGACGGAGGTCTCCAGGGAGGTACCGCACCCATGCTGCCCTCAGGGCCAAGAGAGGCCATCAGGCTGGTGAGGGCACTGGGGGCAGGGGACAAATTGAATAGTCCACTCCCCGCAGACTACCTTTCCAGACACACATTCGGGCAGAGACCCAGACTTGGGACTTGAGGCTGCAAAACGGACAAGGCCCGGGCATACTTGGGTGCTGGTCACCCTCCCCCGTGCTGGCTCCTGGCACCAGGGCCGCGAAGTGCTTTGGCTAGAGGGCTGTGGGTCCCTGGAGCGAGATGGGCAGCGGGGAGATGGCAGACCCTCCGTGGGTGGTGTGCGTGAGCCGCGTGAGCGCCTGGAGCATCTCCTCACGGAATGGCACCCGCACCAGGTGCCCCTGGCGTCGCCTGGCTTCGCCAGCCAGAGGACCAGTCCTGGACGGGCAGGGGGAGGACAAGAGCCGGTGAACAGGCCCCAGAACCCAGCTCCCTGACCCTGGCCAGAACGCAGAGCTGCCTGGCCCACCTCAGATAACTCCCTGGCCCTCTGGTGGGCACGCCGGGGTGCAGCCTCCTGGCCCCGCTGGCGCCTCTGGGGCACGCGCGGGAGGGGCAGAGGCCTGAACCAGGAACAGCTGTTGTGAGAGCCAAAGGCGCGGGGACCTGCGGCCCACCGACCTTTGGACACCCCGGTGGGGGTGGGGGGTGGGCTGGCGCCTGTGTTCCCGGGACCCGTGGCGCAAGGGGAGTGGGGGCGGGGCTAGGGGACAGGAGCAGGTGACGTCACCTGGGGTCCCGGGGCGCTCCAGACGGCGGCGAGAGCCAGGCCACGTGACCCGCCCGCGCCAACCGCCCTGCGCTCTCCCGGGCCGGCGACGCGGAAGGGTCCGCGCTGCACCGCCGCCGCACCCCCTCCCGGTGACCGCACTGCAGAGAGCCGCTGCGAGCAGGCGCCGGCGCACTGGCCCACGTGCCGAGCGAGCGAGGAAGAGGCACAGTCAGAGCGAACGCCCGCGCGGGGAGCCAGGGGCGCCAGACCCCGCCGCCGAGGCAGCGGCGCGCAGCCCCCCGACGCGCCCTGTGGGGACCCCGACCAGGAGGGACCCTGCCCCGGGAAAAGGTATCAGACCCACCAGGGGAGGGGGACGCTGGGTCCCGGGAGAGACTCCACCGCCCCTCGCCTGTCCGCCCTAACAGAACTGAAGCAGCCTGCCGGGAAGGGGTCTGGGGTCCGGGGTTCGGGGGCGGCGCGGGGATGAGGCCAAGACCTGCAGGGACCCGCCCCCCCCGGGGTGGGCGGGGCCTGGCTGCAGAGGCGCGGCCAGGGGAGGAGGGTGGCTGGGGATGGGGGTGGGGGTGGACGTGGACGTGGGCGTCGGGAGGGGTGGGCATTAACCTCGCTCTCGGCCGCTCGCATTCACAGGCTGTGGAGACCCGGGCTGTTCTCCCTGAGTCCTAGGCTCCCACCTCAATTCATTCCCCCACACCCCCGCCGCCCCGTGCCTCCCTGGTCCGTGCTGGGAACCCTATCCTGCCCCTCGTATCAGCCCGGCACTGGCCAGAATTGCGGGCATGGCGGTGAAGATGCTGCAGGACTGGTGCAGGTGGATGGGGGTCAACGCTCGCAGTGGTCTGCTCATCCTGGGCATCCCGGAGGACTGTGATGATGCCGAATTCCAAGAGTCCCTCGAGGCTGCCCTGTGGCCTATGGGACACTTTACGGTGCTAGGCAAAGTGTTTCGAGAGGAGCCACCGCGGCCCTGGTCGAGCTCAACTGGGAAGTCAACTATGCTTTGGTCCCCAGGGAAGTCTCCGGCACGGGAGGCCAGTGGAACGTGGTCTTTGTGCCCTGTTGCTCAGGCGAGAAGTTTCTCGGTCTCGGTCGTGTGTTCCACTTCCCGGAGCAACAGAGGCAGATGGTGGAGAGCCTGGCCGGCGCCCGGGGCGTGGGGCTGCGCAGGGTGTGCTGGCTCCGATCCATCGGTCAGGTGGTCCAGCCCTGGGTGGAGACCGTGAGGTACCAGAGCCTGGGCGTGTTTTCCGGGAGGGACCAGCCAGCCCCAGGGGAGGAGTGCTTTGAGGTCTAGCTAGACCACACCACCGATATGCTGCATGTGTGGCAGGGGTTCTCGGAAAGGGAGAGGAGGAGGAGGCTGCTGGAAGGCTTGCGTGGGACCGTCCTGCAGCTCGTGCACGCTCTCCTGGCGGAGAACCCCGCCAGGACGGCGCAGGACTGTCTGGCGGCCCTGGTCCAGGTGTTTGGAGACAGTGAGTCCCAGGTGACCATCCTGGTGAAGTGTCTGACCGCTCAGCAGCAGTCAGGCGAGTGTCTCTCGGCTTTCGTGTTGCGGCTGGAAGTCCTGCTGCAGAAGGCCATGGAGAAGGAGGCCCTGGCCAGAGCATCTGCCAACCGCGTGCGCCTGAGGCAGATGCTCACCAGGGCCCACCTTACTGAGCCTCCGGATGAAGCACTGATGAACCTGAGAATGGCCGGGAGGTCTCCAAGTTTCCTGGAGATGCTGGGGCTCGTTCGGGAGTCTGAGGCATGGGAGGCCAGTCTAGCCAGGAGCGTGAGAGCCCAGGCACAGAAAGCAGCTGGTGCCTGGGCTGATGCCCAGGCTATTGCCAGAGCCCACACTAAAGTAGAGGCGGTCCCAGGAGGTCCTGGCTGGGGGCCAGAGGGCCTCGTCCAGGCAGGGGGCCAGGAGGCTGAGGAGCTCCTCCCTGAGGGGCTCAAGCTGGTCCTGGAGGAATGTGATAACTAGGTTGGGGCTGGGGAGGCAGCCCAGCGTGAGTCCTCCCTGGGCAAATAGGCTCCGAGGACTCCTGGGCCTCCTCCTCTCAGGCAGCCTCGAGGGACTCTTGGAATTCGGCATCATCACAGTCCTCCGGGATGCCCAGGATGAGCAGACCACTGCGAGCGTTGACCCCCATCCACCTGCACCAGTCCTGCAGCATCTTCACCGCCATGCCCGCAATTCTGGCCAGTGCCGGGCTGATACGAGGGGCAGGATAGGGTTCCCAGCACGGACCAGGGAGGCACGGGGCGGCGGGGGTGTGGGGGAATGAATTGAGGTGGGAGCCTAGGACTCAGGGAGAACAGCCCGGGTCTCCACAGCCTGTGAATGCGAGCGGCCGAGAGCGAGGTTAATGCCCACCCCTCCCGACGCCCACGTCCACGTCCACCCCCACCCCCATCCCCAGCCACCCTCCTCCCCTGGCCGCGCCTCTGCAGCCAGGCCCCGCCCACCCCGGGGGGGGCGGGTCCCTGCAGGTCTTGGCCTCATCCCCGCGCCGCCCCCGAACCCCGGACCCCAGACCCCTTCCCGGCAGGCTGCTTCAGTTCTGTTAGGGCGGACAGGCGAGGGGCGGTGGAGTCTCTCCCGGGACCCAGCGTCCCCCTCCCCTGGTGGGTCTGATACCTTTTCCCGGGGCAGGGTCCCTCCTGGTCGGGGTCCCCACAGGGCGCGTCGGGGGGCTGCGCGCCGCTGCCTCGGCGGCGGGGTCTGGCGCCCCTGGCTCCCCGCGCGGGCGTTCGCTCTGACTGTGCCTCTTCCTCGCTCGCTCGGCACGTGGGCCAGTGCGCCGGCGCCTGCTCGCAGCGGCTCTCTGCAGTGCGGTCACCGGGAGGGGGTGCGGCGGCGGTGCAGCGCGGACCCTTCCGCGTCGCCGGCCCGGGAGAGCGCAGGGCGGTTGGCGCGGGCGGGTCACGTGGCCTGGCTCTCGCCGCCGTCTGGAGCGCCCCGGGACCCCAGGTGACGTCACCTGCTCCTGTCCCCTAGCCCCGCCCCCACTCCCCTTGCGCCACGGGTCCCGGGAACACAGGCGCCAGCCCACCCCCACCCCCACCGGGGTGTCCAAAGGTCGGTGGGCCGCAGGTCCCCGCGCCTTTGGCTCTCACAACAGCTGTTCCTGGTTCAGGCCTCTGCCCCTCCCGCGCGTGCCCCAGAGGCGCCAGCGGGGCCAGGAGGCTGCACCCCGGCGTGCCCACCAGAGGGCCAGGGAGTTATCTGAGGTGGGCCAGGCAGCTCTGCGTTCTGGCCAGGGTCAGGGAGCTGGGTTCTGGGGCCTGTTCACCGGCTCTTGTCCTCCCCCTGCCCGTCCAGGACTGGTCCTCTGGCTGGCGAAGCCAGGCGACGCCAGGGGCACCTGGTGCGGGTGCCATTCCGTGAGGAGATGCTCCAGGCGCTCACGCGGCTCACGCACACCACCCACGGAGGGTCTGCCATCTCCCCGCTGCCCATCTCGCTCCAGGGACCCACAGCCCTCTAGCCAAAGCACTTCGCGGCCCTGGTGCCAGGAGCCAGCACGGGGGAGGGTGACCCAGCACCCAAGTATGCCCGGGCCTTGTCCGTTTTGCAGCCTCAAGTCCCAAGTCTGGGTCTCTGCCCGAATGTGTGTCTGGAAAGGTAGTCTGCGGGGAGTGGACTATTCAATTTGTCCCCTGCCCCCAGTGCCCTCACCAGCCTGATGGCCTCTCTTGGCCCTGAGGGCAGCATGGGTGCGGTACCTCCCTGGAGACCTCCGTCTGTCAGGCCTGAGTCAGCCTTCCATAGGTTTTTCACCAGTCCTCTGCTGCCGGGGCTAGACGCTGCACCAGGGCAGAGCAGCCTGGCTCAAAGCAGAGATTCTGTGCCTGTGGATCTGACGACCATGCACCTGACCCATCACAGGAGTCTGGGGCCATGTGAACAGCATCTCCACCAGACAGGTGGCAGACAGGTTCCCACGGGGTCACACCTCTGGGTGTCGTTCCCTCATCCCCTTCTCTTTCCTTGCCTGGCCTCCTGTTTGGCAACTTGCTGGCCAAGGTTTCCCCCAAGCTTCCAGCTCACCCAAACTGAATCACAGCCCAGAGTGTTTGTCTGTGACCCTATGGATGGACATTCGGGTCCTTCCCACTGTTTGGCTGTTGCAGACACTGCTGCCCGTGGCATCCCGCATGCCTGTCTGAGCCACCACCGTCAGCGAGAAAGGCTCTGGGGTGCACAGCCGGCAGTGGCTCTGCTGGGACTTGGGCTGTGCCCATCAACGCCACGACCAAGCATGGCTCATCTGTGACCTCCGGTGCGTGGCCGAACCCATGTTTCCTCCCACTGGCAGCGTGGGAGCGGTCCTGGGTTCCCACAGCCCGAGCAGCCTTTGGTCTTGTCCAGCCTCGCTCACTTGCCCATCCCACAGGGAGAGACACCACCTCATCGCTGTGTGCCTTGGGTTTCCCCGATCGGTGACGAGGTCTCTCACTGGCCGTTCCCGGTTCCTCTTCTGTGAATCTCCTTTGCTCCTTTCCTCCTCATCTTACAGGTGACAGGCGTCATCAGCCCGTTTCCAGGAGAAAGTTCCTAGCGTCAAGATCGAAGCCTTTCTCCTTTTGTGATATAAGCCATGGCCAGTCTATCACGTTGCCCAGAAGCAGGTCGCATTGGAGTGGGCCTCACAATTAGACTTTGGCTCGCCCGTATGGTTGTGAAACGTTTCAGAATCAAGATGGAGTCACTTGTTGTTCAAGCAAACAAAAATCCAAAAACCTGACAAATAGAGCTGTGGAGGGCCATGGAGGCAGGGTTCCCATGCACGAATGCCTGATAACAAAAGCCATCACAGAAGACTGCAAAACCCACAAATTGGCACAAAGGCTGTTGCAACCTGACACAAATAATGCTTCTGCGAGGACACCTGCCCAGCAACTTCCTGTCCAAGTCCCTGACCAATGCTACCCTTGTTATTCATCCTTGTAGCCAAAGATCATTATCTCAAAACAATTATGTAATCCTCTTCACTTTTCCTGAAAAACCTTTGTCTTCCTTTTCCCTGCCTGAATATGCACATAGTTCACTAGGGCGCACGCGTCCCCACTGCAACGCCTATTTCTGAATAGATACCATTTTCTTATAGGGAGGCTCCCTCTCTGTGTGGTACTTAGGTTGGCATGGTCTTGCTCCCCAGGCTTTTCTACCTCCCAGGTAGTAAACGTGAGGTCAGCGAAGAAACGCATGTCTTCTGCCACAAACCAGCCTCCCCGGTTGGCCTCGTGTGTCCAGTCCTCCCAGGCCCCCGCCGCCGGTCCCCCCGCCCCAACGCTTCTCCCCCTTGAGGGCCAAGACTGCTTGTTCTCATTCAGGCAAACTGCTGCTCTTTACCTCTGCTGTGAGAGTGTCTGTCTATTGAACCTTCAGTGTTAGACTTGTCACGGCTTACACCAGACATTGTCCTCTCTCTTGTTTTCAGCTGTGACTTTTCTGGAGTCCTTCTTCAGAGAGAGCACTGAACCCCCCCGGCGAGCCCCCGCCCTGGGAACATCTGTGGGTCTGGTGTCTCCAGCTGACCCAGTTGACCCACAGGCCGGCTCTCAACTAATTTCCTCTGTTTTCGGCCTTGTCTCTTCCCACTCTCCTTCCTTCTGCACCTGCTGACTCCAAGTCCAGGACGCTCCAGGACGCCCATTGCCCCCGCTAACCCCGGCCAAGGCTGGGCTGTGACACCTCAACTATCTTTCTTTTGTCAGTCCTCTGTCCCCATTGTCTCCACCTCTCAACACAGTTGACTCTCCTTCCTTCTCAAAACCATTTCCTTTCTCAACTTCTTCCCCTCCCCCACTCCACTTTTGGGCTGACCTCCTCCCTCTCTACCTGCCTCTCTGCCTTTGGACCTTCCTCCTCCTCCTCCTACTTTGCTGGGTCTAAGCGTGGTGGGGGTGGGCTCCTAGCCTCAACCTTCGATGAATGCTCTGTCTCTGGACGTGACCTGTCTTCCAAGCTCCACACGTACTCATCCATCTGCCCACGTGGATGCCCCGAGGACATTTCAGAGCTCAGATGTTCAAACCGGAGGGCTTCGTCCCCTTCACCTCCACTGTCCCCAGGCTTCCCCCTCTGTGCAAAGGGCTCTGCCTTCTACCTGGTGACTCAAACAAAGCAGCCAGGATTCTCTCCCCTCTCCTTTGTTCCTCACTCCCAAATCTAACCCATTATTGGATTTTGTTGACTCTGGTCCAAGACTGCTACCCTTCTCATCTCCGTGGTCCTTGGTCCTCCCTGTCTCCTGTTCTTCCTGCCTCCACTCTGCGTCCTCCCTGCTCCACCAACACCCCCTCAGCAGCCAGGGTGATCTTTTTGCAACACCACCAGACCCTGCTCCTCCCTGTGGCACCCCATCTCCTTAGAGTAATCTCAAAGCCCCCATCCTGGTCAAGAGCACCCCCACGCTGCTCCTGGGGATCTGGCTTCCTCTGATGCTCTCCTTCCCTCCCCAAAATCCACCCCGTGTCGCCATGCCCCCAGCTCCTCTCACCACACTCCTGCCAATCTGGCCTGTTCAGCTGACCCCGCAGCACAGGGCTTGTTCCCACCTTCAGCCTTTGCCATCCCTCCTTCCTCTGTGTGAGCCATCGGCCCCAAGAACCTTCTGTGGCAGCAGCTTCCTCCTGCTCTTCCTCTTCCTCCTCACCCTCCTCCTCCTCTCCCTCCCCCTCCTCCTCCTCCATGTCTCAGCTGAACTGTCCCCTCCTCCCATAGGCCCCCTCTGCTGGGACACACAAATCACATGCCCTCCATTTATATTCTCATATTCTTATTGGCAGCATCAGTATGTGTCGGCACGTGAGAAATGCTGGTCTGAGTCTTTGCTTTTGGGCATCAGGGGCTCCCTCCCCAGATGGCAAGCTAGAGCCCCAGAAGGTGAGGTGGACTTGCCGGTGTGTCTAGCCCATTTGTACTGCTGTAGCAAGATACCTGAGACTGGGTAACTTACAAAGAACAGAAATGTATTGCTCCCAATTCTGGCGGCTGGGAAGCTCAAAGTCAAGGCACTGGAGACTGGGAAACTTACAAAGAATAGAAATTTCTTGTTCCCAATTCCAGAGGCTGGGAAGCCCATGATCAAGGCACCAGTAGGTTCAGCGTCTGGTGGGGGCTCAGGCGGACTCCCTGGTAAAAGTAAAGGAATTGTACAGGTGGCCCCTGCTTGGTTTGGCTCCCAGAGTCTTCCATCTTTTTTGCTTGGTCCCCCTGATTGCCAGCAGCAGGCACTGCACAGAGCCAGCATGCCCAGCAGATGTTGGACACCTGAAGGGATAAACACGCACTGCACTCACAAGCACTGCACTGTGAGGTGGCACTTGATTGGAGATGCTGCAATCAAGATTCATAGAAGGCTCTGGGTTGCTTGGTGGCCAGACGCCTCCATAGAGCACCTGCTGTAGTACTGGCTCTTGAGAACCAAGTCCCAAGGACAGCCAGCCTTGCTGAGTGCCTCCAACACAGACCCGGATACAGAGGAGGTCTCCTTGTGTGTTTCTCCCCACCTGGCTGCCTCCCAGCTGGCTGACCTCAGACATGTCCCTTAGAACCTCCACAGGTTGAGTGGGAGCATTGTCTGCTCCCGAACCAGAAAGGGCTTCTTTGCTGTGCACCACAATGTCCGAGAGCCCAGACTCTGCACAACCAGCGGAAGCCCTCCTGTGTCCTCCAGGGACAGCCTGGGGCTCCTCTCTACTGTCCTATCTCAGGCAGGGCCAAAGCTTCCCAATCTGTGGCTTTGGGCCAGCTCCCCACCGGCCGCGGCGGGCTCTGACTGCTCAGAAGCGTCCTTTCCCCAATGCCCTCTTTGATTCTGCTCCCAACGGCTCTCTGCCCTGCCCAGAGCCCACAACAGGCCCTTGGGCGGCCAGGCTAGCACCTGCCTCCTGCCATATGACCCTGCCGTTCCCTGACTGGCTGCCCCCACCTGGGGCAGGAGGAGCAGTACTTCCTCAGCTTTTGTCTGGCTGTGCCCCACCCCACACACACCGAAGCACATACACACACACACACACACGCATGCACACACACGCACGCACGCGCACGCACACACAACCTGCCCTGCCCCTAGCCTGCCCTCTGCAGCCTCACAGGTGCAGGTGGCTCCTTCCCAGCTAGCAGGGTTTTCTGAGGGACAGCCGGATGTGGCACGCCATGCTTCCCAGACTCAGGGTCCTGCTGGGCTGAATAAGTGTGAGCTTGTTCTCCGTTGGTCCTTGACACAGCTGTCTGCCTGTGGCACAGTCTTCAACTCGTTGAAGTCCCTCTGGAGGAGTATGGGTGGGGTGTTGGGGGTGGAGTCGGGTGGCAGTGGGCTGGGTGGTGCCATGGGGCTTGGGACACAACTGCATTGGTGGTCAGTCCTCTCTGCCTAGGTTCAGGATTGAAACGGCCTTCATAGTAAGTTCAGCCCTGTGCTTGCTCCCAGTGAGCTTGCCTGCAGCTAGATGCCATCAGCATCTTTCCTCCCACAGCTGCCTTCCAGCTCCCTTCCTTCCCGTGTGTGCCACTGGCTCTCCCAACCCATGGGGCACACTCACTCTCCTCCCGAGGAGGCAGCGTCATCTGGGCATGACTGGCCCTTTCCGCCAGGAGTCCAGGGATTTCTGTCAGAGACCCCTGCTCCTGCTCGTTCTGCCCTTTAGCCTGCCAGGCCTCCTCACTTTGACTTTGGAGTTTGGATGGTGACTCAGCAGTCAACCACCATTCATGGGCAGGGCCACGGTTTCCAGGAGAGAAGCCTGCAGATGGCTGCACCCTGGTTCCAGGGACTCGTGTCCCTGTCCTCTCCTGGGGGACTCCGGGGTCCTGGCTTCCCAGGTGCTCTGTGGGTTGAACGGTGTCTCATATCACATATCAGAGTGAATTTTGGAACCATGGTTGCCAAGGAAATATCATGGTTTGGCTGAAGTTTGCCCCATAAGTGTTCTGTGCTGTATTTTTCTGTTGCCTGCTTCCAAATTGCTCTGTGAAGGTTAGACCATTCATCTGCGTCCTTTGGTTGGTTCTGTGGAAGGTAGTTTCCTCTTTGGTCTAGTTAGCCACAGAAAAAGATGCCTATGAGTTTCTCAAATCATGAGTTTGTGAGGACTGGGCAGTGATCAAGTTCCCTGGGGGATGCCACAATAAATTTTCCCTGTAGGTAAGACTTTAGGAGCAATCCAATAGGATACTTGTTTGAGCAACAGTCATAGCTCACAGCAAGCAAGTTGCCTGCTTGAAACACGGGCCTACGCTGTGAAGGTCTGTTAGAGCTGAGCATATCAATGTTCTCTAAAGGGATAGAACTAATGGGATATATGTATACACATACACACACATATAGGAGTTTATTAAATATTAAGTTACACGATCACAAGGTCCCACGATAGGCTGTCTGTAAGCTTGAGGAGCAAAGAGAGCCTGTCTGAGTCTCAAAAATGAAGAACTTGGAGTCCAATATTCGAGGGCAGGAAGCATCCAACATGGGAGAAAGATGCAGCCTGGGGCGCTAGGTCAGTGTCTCTTTTCACTTTTTTCTGGCTGCTTATATTCTAAACTCGATGGCAGCTGATTAGATTGTGCCCACCCAGTTTAAGGGTGGGTCTGCCTTTCCCAGCCCACTAACTCAAATGTTAACCTCCTTTGGCAACACCTTCACAGACACACCCAGGAACAATACTTCGTATCCTTCAATCCTATCAAGTTGACAGTATTAACCATCACACTGAGCTGGCAACTGAGTGCCTCCTTGAGGACATACCACACTTTCTGGTAGAAATAAGGCTTTTAAGGCTGTCAGCTCAGAGGAGAGAAGGCAGCCAGCAGCACGTGGCCTCTGGAAGATCCCAAGCCCTCCCTCTTGTGACATAATGTGACCCAATGGCCTGGAGTTTTGGATGGAGGGACGGGAAGAAGGTGAGTAGTGCTAGCTGACAAGAGCTACCTCTAGGGACTTTTTGATGATCAGTCAAAACTCTAGTTTCCCATGGGGAAGTGTGGCTCAAGACTGGAAAGAGACCCTGTCCAACAGAAATCTCCTTGTCTCCTGACTCTGGTGTCTCTCCAACCTCAGCACATGAGAGCACTCAGTAGTCCCTGGATTTAGCCAACACCTC